ATATATATATATATATATATATATATATATATATATATATATATATATATATATATATATATATATATATATATATATATATATATATATTATATGTATATTATTATATATATAATATAAATATATTATGTATATATATATATATATATATATATATATATATATATATATATATATTTATATTTATATATATATATATATATATATATTTATATACTCATATAGTGTCGCTTTAAGAGCATTTTAATGTAAAAAAAGTCTCTTACGACTACAATTTTAATTACCTCGTCTCTTAAGCTGTTTTTGATTGTCGTCGAAATGTCAAAGCAATTAATTTATGCGGAAGTACATTAAATTTAATTGTTTTTTAAAAAATTTTTAAAAAACCGCAATTATAACGACTAGAAAGTTTTTTTTAATTAGTGGTGTTTTTGTTATTGATTTAATAAAAAACATTTTTTAAACATGCGTAAATGTTGCTACATCGACTATCTTATAGCCTGACTCGCAACGGAGTGCTGCTACATCGACTGACAAATAGCCTGACTCGCAACGGAGTGCTGCTACATCGACTGACAAATAGCCTGACTCACAACAGAGTGCTGCTACATCGACTGATAAATAGCCTGACTCGCAAAGGAATGCTGCTACATCGACTGACAAATAGCCTGACTCGCAAGGGAGTGCTGCTACAACGACTGACAAATAGCCTGACTCGCAAGAGAGTGCTGCTACATCGACTGAGGGTTCGGTTTGGCCAGGCAGTCTATCAATTAAAAAAAAAAATTTAATTCTTAAAACTTTTTCTGGTCTGGTTTATTAACGCGCTCTTTAAAACTACAGTTTATGGGAAATATTTTTTGATGCTACGCAAGAGACATGCAAGACTATATATATATATATATATATATATATATATATATATATATATATATATATATATATATATATATATATATATATATATATATATATATATATATATATATTAGGGTGGTCCAGATTTGTGTGGTGAAAATTCAAAGTGTGTCTAGATTCTCTCCACAAGCCTAACTTTGTTCCACTATGCTTAGGGAATAACCATACAAAAGAGCCAACCTTAGGCAACATTACTTTACACTACGTGCCTCTCAAGAAAAGGAAAGAATCCAGAAATGGAGGGCTAACCTTAGGCAAAATGACAGTATACAGATGAAGTGCAAAGTCCTATGGCTTACCTTCTCGTTGGTGCACTTTGTTAAGTAAATTAGGCTTAAAATTACATGTCTAATTTATGAACAAAATAGCCAAGGCAACATTTGTAAAAATTTCTGCTAAAAATGGATACTGCAAAAGCAATACAAAATTTAGTTATTATTCAATGATATAAACAGCGACGCCACTCGTAAAAAAAGCTGCCACCCTCGCTACGCCTTTTAATGTTTCTCCACTTTTTATATTGACTATATTTAAATCTTAGATAAGTTGCGGGGGGGGGGGGCGTCAATAAAAAAATTTCGCATCACCTATTTAAAATGCTAGATCCGCCCCTGTATATAAATTTCTATTTCATTTAAGTATTTATATACGAATAAGTTTAAACCAAATATTTTTATTTATGGTATTTTTTAGGGCTTATGGTTCTTAAAAGACCTGGAGAGTACCTTAAAATAACGGCGACCTTAACGTTTAACTAAATTATAATCGCAGATAAAATTCATGCTAAAAAATTAAGTAATTAAGGTAGGTGGTTTACCCCCTTTAAAATTATCTTGGAAGTGAAATCTTATAGATTAAATCTTATAGAAAAATTATATTAAAATTAAAAATAAGCCTATGAAAGATCTTGTTAAACGAAATTGATTTATAAAATTACAGGTGATTATGTTGTCATGACAACCACCTAAAATAGCGGATATAAGAAATATGCACATCGCACTGTCAAAAATATCTCAAATTCTAATAGAGTGTTCATAGTAAAACTTGGCCCAATGATAAAAAACAGTTTGATCTATGCAATCTGTCAAAAGTTTTTAAATCTGACCATTAGTTTCCATGTAGCACTACACGGATTATGAAGATTTTTAAATAAACAATTTTTTTAGTGCTGAAACAGCAATATCTCAAACTCTGAAATGTTTTATAATTAACTTTTGGTAGATTGCATGCATCATATAAAAACGCATCACTGCTGAAAATTTGGTTAAAAACTGATTACTAGAAAATTAAATAACTGTGACGGGAGATTCAAAAATAGAAGTTCGCAAATAAAGACTATAAAAATTAAAAAAGAGAAAAATATGCAAATCAGTTACTGAACAACAATGGCTAATAAAGTGCTATCAATTATTCTGTATCCACATATATTTTTTTTATTAGAATTTGCAGAAGTATTAATAGGGTTTATCTTGGAATAAGATACATTTATTGAGCTCTGTTAATCTGTAGAAGGTAGAAGACTACTATTTGCTGAATTTGTTTTATTTAAAGTATATTCCATGAGTTCTTTTTTTTTTGAGTTTTTTTTTTATTGAGTAGCGAATTTTACACATTCTCTACCCATTAAAAGTATAAGGTTTAGTTTATATAAACATAAACAGATGCATAGATATATATAACTTTAAGGTGACAATTCGTTTTAAAGAAACTTCTGCAAGAAAATTATGAGAAGTCCGGTTATTGCTTTTACTCTTACAGATGTTTTGATGAATGGAAAATAGAAACAAGTTAATAACTCATTTCAGCAAGCTTTTTTCTCAGTATTAAAATAATAAGTTCGGGGAGAATTTTTTGGCCAGATAAAAATTTAACCGTTGCTATGGAGGTTGTCAAGGGCGCTTTAAAAAGTAAGGTTCAGTAAAGTTTGTTTTCCTCAAGTTATATACTGAATTTTAAAAAATGGTTTTCAGAATATGATTCTATAATAAATTTTGAATAAAATAGAACAACAAAATTTTTTTTTGAAAAATTTGATATTTCTGAGGGGTATACCACCTTAATTAACGGAAACCGTAGAGTTTAGTGAAAAAGCGAATTTTTGACTTGAAAACAATACACAGAAACGAAGAGAATTTTTGTAATAAAATTTTATGGAAACAAACCGATAACAGCATGCGATTGATTTAACACCGTTAAACACGTTGCCATCAAGTGTTGAGATTTTTAACACTAACCTTAGGGACAAGGCAGGGGGGAAAAAAAGGCAGAATACTCAGTATCAATATCAATATCGACGTCAATTATTGTACCGCTTGTTAAATCGTACAAAAAATCAAAAGATAGCCGGAGCAACTGTGCGGTATTAGCATTATATCAATGTTTACATTCAAGAATAGGTTAAAACAGGTTCAAGAGTATATAATTCTCATTATATGTCCGGATATTATAGATACTCAACCCCTACAATTTAGATTCAATGCTAACTGTTCAACGCTATATGTTGATTTTATAATTAGCGAGATAATTAAACATTACAACAGCAACACTTCCCTTGGGTAGCTATGCTCTTTAGATGTAGAAAAATCTTTTGATAGCTGTAACTGGGATCTCCTATTTGATAAACTATATTTTGAAAAAAAAATTACCACTCTGTTTAGTTAACACTATCTCTTCGTTATATAACAATAGTAGTGCAACAGTCTCATATCAAGGTTGTAAACCAAACTCTTTTCTTCTAAAGCAAGGAGTAAGACAAGGGTCCATTCTTTCGCCTCACCTCTATAACATTTACACTGAAAGTCTTTTTGAAACTATTAAAAAGGTATTGTTAGCACATCTATATACGGTAACTTTACAGGTGTGGTAGCATATGCGGATGATATCATACTTTTAAGCTCTACCCATTTTGGTCTCAAAGAACATATAAAAACATGCAATATTTACAGTAATCTAGATTGTATTAAACTATATTTACAGTTATCTAAATTGAGTTCTGATTACAGGTAAAGCGCAAATCTAAACCAATACGATAACGATTTCTGGTTATTAAAAAATATTCAGAATTAACATAGACATCTGAGATTCACATGGGGTACTAAACATTCAAGTTTTGCTTCACTTAGTTATACAAGTATTGATGAAAAAATCTCAAACTTTAAAGCTGTTGTTCAAACTCTTCAAATTCAATCTGGAATCCGGTTTGCACACTCAAGTTCTATTTCCTATATATATAAATCATTGGCAGTCCCTACCTTAACTTATGGTATGGAGCTATGTGAAAATAATTCTGTTTTGATGAAAAAGCTAGATATATTTGGAAGGAGTGCGCTAAAATTGTTTTTAAATGTTTCAAAACACAGTAAGAACTATACAAATTCGCTATTTAAAATCCAGGAAATTTCAAAAAGTATTCAACAAAGTAAATTAAACTTGTTCCTAATAATAAACTCTTTATTTCAACATTCGTTTGTTGGTGATATCCAGGACCTTTTCAGATTTTAAAATTTCAAAATTTAATTCAAAGTAAAAAGAAGGTAAAAATAGTACTTTTTTTTTATTTTCCATTTTATTACATATGATTTCATTTTTTACTAAGCTACACATAACTGTCGATGTTTTTTCCATCATTACGGTTCCTATTGACTTATTTCTTAATTTTTCTCAATTTTATGTGCGAATAATAAATGGGATTAACAGATCAATACATAGCTTTAGGCACTTAACAGTTTTTTCAAGTTAGAGGTTTTCGATAATAAAATAAGCTTGCTTTAAAATTTTAAAAAACAAAACTTGTTTAATATTTTGTTTTAAGTGCCCCAGGAAGACCTAGTGGTCTAGTTACAGAGCACCGCTGAGGAGCATTTAACTTGGAAGTTCACGCATCCTTCCTTACCGATGACTTAAAATATAATCTGAACTTACATTGAACGCTGTATCTTTTGCTTCTTCAGCAAGCGCTCTAACCACTGCGACACGGCTGCGTAACATATTTGGTTCAAACATTTTTAAACTTTGACTTAATATATGAATAATCAACTTTAAACAAAATTAATGTAACAAAAAAACAAAATATTTTTATTTACTGTTTTTCCGTTTTCATAAGGACTCAAAGACAAAGGTTGATAACCATCTGTGCAGTTTTCATAACCTCGTCTCCAAGAGGCCCCATCTTTATAAGCTCTTCGACAAATACATATTTGTTTTGGCAAACCAACAGATTGTGATGCATTTACGCATTCCATAAAAGGACACGTGTGTAAGGCTGTACAAACTGTGCCATACATAATACACTGAACACAACATATTAAGTCTACACAGAAAAGTAATCTATAAAATCCTATCAACATTCTTTTTATTTTGATGTTAAAAGTAGAGTTCGTTTATACAATATACAGCATAGATAGAATCACATACTAACGCAATCGCTCTTTAAAATTGAATAGTGTTAATAAATAATATTTTACCATGACAAAAATAAGAAGATATTTCCAAAAAGTCTATTTGTTACAACAGATCACATGTGCACGCGTAGAAAAAAAAAACAGAAAAGAAAAAAAAGTTGTTTAATTATATTTAATATTTAATTGTCCAATTCACTATTAAATTCAATAAAATAGAAAAAGTTTTTAAGAAAGTTTTGTATAAGGATGTTTTGTTCGGATTTCTTCAGAAAGTAACAGAAAGTAAAATTGATAAATGCAAACATACGAATGTTTATTTTTACGCTCAAAATGATACTAAAAAATTTGAAACTTAAGGGCAATAAGTTGATGAGAGTCGATGAAAAGCGTTTCATAAAACATACAAATGAGTTTAAGGAAGCTGCTCAGTTATTGAACAACCACTCAACACTGAATAAATAAAATTTATAAACATATAAAAAAATGTCGTATTTGACTTCGTCTTGTCTTTAATACTTTATTACGTAATGCTGCGGAAAAAATCACCGAGGAGTAAAATCTTTCGGTGGATTAAGAACGATAAAACGCAAGATATCGGATAATGACACAACACCTAGAATTTTATTGAACTCGTCCACAACAACCAATCGATGAACCTGTTACAAGAAAAAATAAAATAAACATTAAAACAAAGTGTTAATCATTAAATTTTATATAACTTGAGGGAGGTAAAATCATCGATGCCCATATCAAGCATTGCTCATAAACGGCATTTGTTTTTGTGATTTAAATTTTAAAAATACACTTAGCTTGAAAAAAAACCTTTTAATGATTTTTTTTAATGATTTGCTATTGAATTTATAATTTTGGTAGAGAAAATATAATCATAATCATAAAGTATAATAATGTGGGTTACTTGACCGGGGTTAGTTGACAACAAGAGTAAACTGACACACATTGCGTTTAACTTTGGAACTGCCCTTCAGAGAAACTTTAAATTTTAACCCCTCCTCCCTCTTGTCACAACATCGTAACACTTTAGTAACCCGGATTTCATCACAAAACCACTATTCCCCCCTCCCCGTGGGCGTGACGTAATTTATGGATTACCCCTAAGAACTGTGTAATAGATTATTTAAAGAGTAAAGCGCTAAACAACTTTCTTTTTCTTATTTTGTTGGTTAGTTTAAATTTTTCGCTTTTTTATTTGTTGGTTAGTATTTTTTTTTTATTACATTTTTTTTTGGTTGGTTACTTTACGTTTCGTCACATTTTTAAAACTTTGACGCTGAAAAAAAAAAACAGAAAATAAATTAATAATAGTACATTAATAATGAAAATATCACGTTCAGCATTTTCCGATAAAAATTAAATATAAAGTGCGGAGAACTCAATAATTCAAATAGCAACAAAGTAAAACTAATATAAAACGGATATTTCATACCTCTGCTAATTATTTAACTGACCCAAGGAAGTATAATAGACTAGCTAGAGGGAGGTATAATAGACTAGCTAGAGGGAGGTATAATAGAGTAGCTAGAAGTCGAAAATCGTTTAAAATCGTGATACTGATATAGTTCTTAAAGAACATATTTTCAGCAAGGAACTTATTATATCTCTCTAAGATTTTATTTTGTGCTGTAGTATTTTTGCTGGAATTATAAACAAATTGCTATATTTTAAACATAGGGATACACAATATCTTTTTGTAAATCTAGCAAAAATACTACCGATCTTTATCTAAACATTTAATAATTTAATTCTAATCTAGAAATTTATTATTAGTAGTTTCAAAAAATACAGCATAACAAAATAACTAGTTAGTTTGTTATTTTGTTATGCAGTACTCTAAATATTATTTAAGAATTTTCCTGAACTTATCTTTTATTTGCAATGCTTTGATTGCTTATGACGTTTTGAAAAAAAATCATAGTTAGGGTAGTTTATAGGATAGTTTTTTTTTATTGGAATGTGATAAATTAACTTTAAATTATAATAATTACGCGGTATTTAAATGAAAATTATGTGCCCACAAAGACTATTCTTTGACGTATTTTTACTTCGTTCTTAAGCTTGGTTTCCAATAGTTGTAGAAATGTCGTACAACAGTTGTACAACACCTTTGTTTTATAATGGAAACATTTTATACCGTTGCACAACTTTACGTCGGTTGTACAACAAAACTCATGTTGTACAACTCCGGTTGTGAGTATTGAAAAAATTCTATTTCTGCAACCGTTTTTTTGGTCGCGCAGTTAATTTTTTATTGGAAACTGCACAAAAACTGTAAAGTTAATAAAACATCTTCATTTTTTACAAAATATGACGACAACTCCATTATGTGTGTTTGAAAAACTATCTAAAGCAGCTTTTATGAATTTCAAAAATTTCCAGTATTGTATGCTTTTATGAATTTCAAAAATTTCCAGTATTGTATGACAAGTTTAATAAAGATTTTAAAGATAAATGGAAAAAGAAAAATGCATGGGAAGAAGTTGGTCGTCTTTCAAACTTATCTCCTAATCAAGCGGAAGAGAAATATAAAAGCATTCGAAGTAGTTATGGAAGGTGGCTGAAATCAAAAAAAAATATTCCATCAGGTTCTGGAAGGAACTCAGTTCCACTTCAGTTTCTTCAGCTCGATTGGCTAAATACTTTTATAGAACATCGCGAAACAACAACCAGTATTTGTTTACCTTCTGACTCCAGATTAGAAACATCGAATTAGGAAGAAAACATTGACATAGTATGTGAGCAAGTTGAAAATACTCATCATCCATTTAATAATGATCATATATCTGAAGATGTGACTACAGAAAACAGCTCTATAAATACTTGCGTGCAAGGAGAGTCAAGTGAGTCAACAATTCACGCTAATAACAAAAAAAAAAAAAAAAAAAGTTGGATTCTGATGATTTACTTGATAGAACCTTGTGAAAACATTAGAAAAAATTAACTCCAATATTGAAAATCCGACTCTTGAAGAGCAGGATGAAGATTATTTATTTATGAAATCATTAGTTCCGCAACTTAAGCAATTAAACAACTATTCTAAAGCCTTGGCTAAAGTTCAAATACAAACATTACTTCTTAAATTAGAGTTTCCAGACAGAGGTGAAACTATCTAGCCTATTACTCTACTTAACTGGTCAATGTGGAAAAACTGTACTTTAGAAGTAAATAAACTATGAAGTAACTGTTGATAATTTGTTTAAAAAGACACATTCTGGCTTACTATTCTTTTTAACCTATTGATGCAAGAAACATAACATTTTAAGTAAAATTAGATGTGAAGTTACTTTTGATTAATCATTGGAATAGACTAAATTTCGCTTACTATTTTGTTAAGTCTATTGATGTGATAAACTATAACTTATTTTAGAAAATCATGGAGGTATAAAATGTTAATCTTTTATTAATTATTAGGTAACTGTTGAAGTATATCTTTTAACTATAAAAAAAAAGTAAATTATTGGTTTGTTAAATATAACATATTTTCTTTTATTAGGAAGTTTTGTTTATTACATACATTCTAGTTATTAACTGGATTGTGGCCACACGATTGAACATAGTCCATTTGCCACGAAAGGCTTCCTTCACATGAATTAAAATAATCTTTATAAGTATTTCTTATTGCAATTGCATCAAAAACAGATCTATTACTTGTTGATTTTGAGAAATCAAGCAAACACCCTTGATCTTGTAATTCTTTTCTCCAATCTCCTTGAATAACAATTCCTGAATGACTTTCACTATCAACAAAACCAGTAGGAATATAATGCGCTCCATCTGTTAAACGCAAATAGTTGTGAAGACAAACAGTAGCCTTTATTATATGTTCCACTTTCAATGGCTTTGCTTTAATTGGAGATCTGTATATTCTCCATCTAGCTGCTAAAATTCCAAAACTATTTTCGATTGTTCTACGTGCTCTAGATAAGCGATAATTAAAAACTCTTTGCTGAACAGTAAGATTTTTACCTGGGTACGGTTTCATTAACCATGGTTTAAGTGCAAATATGTCATCTCCAACAAGGACCGGTGGAACTTTAGGATCAAATTCAGAAATTTTTGGTAAATTAAAATAACCCTTATTAAATGCTCTCCCAAACGTGCTTGCATTTAAAATGGCAGCATCATTATCCCTTCCATAAGCCCCAATGTCAACCATTGTGAAACAATATTTAGCATCACAAATTGCTAATAAAACCATGCTGTAAAACCCTTTGTAGTTATCCAGAAAAGAAGATCCAGATTTTGCAGGTGCGTACATGCTTTCCATCTATGCATCTTTCTATGCATCTTTCTATGCATCTTTCCATGCTTTACATCTATTTCCATCTATCTTATATCTATTTCCATCAATGCGTACATGCTTTCCATCTATAGCTCCTATACATTGTGGAAAGTTCCAATTTTGATCAAACTCTTTAATAATATTTTGCCATTCTTTTACGTCATTTGGGGCTCGTAGAAAGACTTTCTTGAGAACTTTCCATATTGCACAACAAGTTTCTTCAATTATATGGCAAACTGTAGCTCTGCCAACTCGAAAATAAAATGACTGAGTTTGTTGTGATTCTCCTGTAGCAAGGTATCGAATTGTTATAATTAATCTTTGCGACGGACATATAGAATCTCTACTGGGACAATACTTTTTCGTTAATGAAGATCCAATTAATGACAAAAGATGTTCAAGTCTGTCAGGAGACATTCTTAAATATCGATAAAAAAATTCTCTATCAAATAGCTTCATTTCTTTCACCAAAGAGCTAAATGCACCTTGCTGAACACGTTTTTTAAATAGTTCTCTCACCCAAAACTGATGTTTTCTTTTTTTTATCCTTACCGCACAACAAATCAAAAGTATGTTGTACAACTGTTGTAAGACATTTCTACAACTATTGGAAACCAAGCTTTACTCTAGCTATATTTTAACTCTTTGATTGACCGATTGTGTGAATATCTAGCTTACTGAATGCCAACGATAATGCAATAATATTAATTCGCGTTTAATGCTTATCAATTATTAATTTACAGAGGCTTTTCAACACCTTTACTTCCAACAAGGCTGCAAGCAACTACTATTTGAATTGGAAGTTACTGGAAGAGAGAATATGAAGTTTATAGCACAAGATAATGATTAGCAGACGACTTAGAAGATTACAAATTATATGAATCAGGAAAAAAAGATGAAGGAAGCAAATTCTCAAGAACTGATGTTTGAGGGAAAACTACACGAATAAGAATTTTTGAAGCACTTAGAAACAAACACAGTAAAAAGATGAGACTTAACTGAATGACGAGAAACACGAGAAGGGACGCTAGCTCTTTAGAGCAGTATAATAGTATTTATAGAAAAGAGAAAGAGAAGCAACATTATGACGATGTGATAATGGTTGGAGGTTGGCTGCAAGAGCAAGTCTAACTATGTTTTAAATGCGTTTTTGCACCTTGTCTAAAAGAGAAAGAGCATCATTAAAAAATCCACCTCAGATATGGCAACAGTATTCCATACAAGGATGGATTTGAGATTTATAAAGATAAAGAATAAAATCCTGAGTAAGGCAATCCTGAGTCCTGAGGCAATTACGATAAAGAGATGCAACCATGGCAAATGCTAATTTTGTAATTGATTTGATATATGGTTTCCAAG